CAGGATATTATACACATTTTTTAAAAAGCTTTCCATTTAAATTCTATTGCGCGAAAAAGAAAGAAAGGTAGGAGGAAAGAAAAAATGAAAAAAAATTCAAATTCATATTTCAGTATGGTTTCAAATGTTAATGAGGAAGGATGTATGATTTTTTATGCACATTTTGTATTTCCCAATAAGGTAAGTTGAGTAGTGTCGGCTAACAAAAATGTTATTAAAAGTAATATAGGTTGACACATTTCAAAAATTTGAATTATCTCATTTCGGTTATTTATACGTTACTTATAAAATTGTTTCAAATAATTTCAGTTAGTTTTTAAGTTATTAAAAATAAATATGTATGTACCTACTTCCAATAAATTTTTTTTTTAAATAATTGTTTTAAAACTATTTCAAACATGTTATATTGAGTGCTTCAAAAATTTTGCTGTTCTCTTTTTTCATATTTTATTAGCAGGTAAACAAGAGCAATCTATTTATAAAATGTCCCTGCATGTGTATGTATGACCTATCTTAATTCTAAACGGGAAGAATATTACATAAAGAACAAAAATTTTAAAATACCTGTTATTTTACAGTCGGAATTTTTGAGTCATTTGGTAAAATACCATTTATTTCAAAAATAAAAAAATATTCAAATCCGGTCATAAAAATATATGATTGTTTTTTCCAAACATTTTAAATATTTTTTTTTTTTAGGTAATTGATATAAATAATAGTAAGTTTTTAATATTTTTTCAAATAAAAATAGAGGTAAAATTTTGAAGTTTATATAAAATTTGTATTTAACAAATAATATTTGATTGTATTTTAGATATTATTTTCTAATTCCCTCTTCAAATTTTTTCTTTACTATGTATTTATATCAATATTTAAGAATTATCTTTCATTAATTATATTTTGAACTTGACACCACAGTTACTCCCCATATCTTGAGTTAACTTACCCTATGAGAAAAAAAAGCTGTTCACTTAAAAATAATGAAATGCTTTCAGTAACATATAAAACGTTGAAGGCGAAGGTTGTGCTTGTTGTTTTTCCGCAATTTCAAGAATTTTAAAGTGGTTATGAATGAAAATATTAATATATTTTCTTGATTTTTCAAATATATTTTTAGAATTTTACCTGCTTTATAATAAGTGTAAATTTATTTTAATATTTCTTCTCAAAAAATAGCCACTTCGATTTAAAAAAAACCATATAAAATAAGGTCGTGCTTTCAAGTTTATATCTAACAAGTCTCTGAGCATTGGGACTTGTTAGACATAAAGACATTATTTACATGTAAGATAATTGAACTTAAGTTTTCATTCTCACAAATTATATTAATTTCAAAAAAAAATTAAGGTTTAAATTATCTGAATAAACAAAATATTGTAATAAAATTTGTAATAAAACTGAATTAAATATTATAAATTAAATTATAAATATTATAAATTATACAAGTAAATATTATAAATTAATTTAAATTGGATCACATTCTCGAATACCGTTTTTTTTCTTCTCTATTATTCTTGGTTATTCATTAAATTTATTGCTGTCTTCATGAAACTTTGAAATTATACTTTACACAGTAATTTTAAATCTATAGCTAATGTCAAAAAGATTTTAAATGTAAATCGCGAGATAAGCTTGAAAAAAGAATTTGGCTTAAATTTGTTTATATTTATAAAAATAGTTTTCTTTTTTTTGTTGTAAATTTAAATGAAATTTGTATTCAAAATTCTTGGTTATGGTGAAAACCTTAATTTAATTAAATTGCAGTGTTGATTCACATTTTATTTTGGAATTACATTTAAATTAAAATGTTGGTGGAATCGTAGTTCCGTTCTCCTTTAGGGTGTTCAAAATTTAGGGGTTTTTCGAACAAAGTTTTGGGAGTCTTAACAACATCTGAGACTCATGGAAGGGTAGGGCTTGGGACAGTGGTGATTCGTCATTCTGTCAGCATAGTGATATACCGTGTGGTGCACCCTATACCAATGTATTACGTGCTGGTTTACAAGGTGTTTCAGTTAAATTCAACTTTACTTTTTTTTGCAATTGAACTAAATTTTTTTATTTTTTCATTTCAATGTGTGCACAATTTTTTTTCTGGTTATGATATGTAGGTATTGGTGGTAACCTGTTACTTCTACTTAACCCATCCCAGGCTGAACCATTATATGTCTCACGCTCGATGGAATATCTACTTATTTCTTCTTCGACTGCGCTAATGTTGAGATCTCTATGTATGGTGGAATTTCTTACGTACCAAGATGCTTTTACTACATTTCGTAGTACTTTATTCTGAATGACTTCAATTGTTTGCTAATTAGTTTTCTTTGTACATCACCAAAGTTGTACACCGTATGTCCAAATTGGTTTAATAGCCTGTTGGTATATTAATAATTTATTATGGAGACTCACTTCTGAGTATCCGCCCAATAACAATTCAATTTAGAGATTGTGGTGTTTAACTCTTGTTTTTTCTTTTTTACGCGTTCTTTGCAGCGTAATTTTGCGTCTAATGTCATCCCAACATATTTGCCTCACTGGCATAGCGTACAATTCTATTGTTTAATAGTACCGGAATATTGTTATTTATTTGCTTATAAATAAAGTTAACATAAACCGATTTATCCTGATTAATTGTGATTCGCCATTTTTTCAACCATAGCATAATTTCATCAAATGATTTTTGTACTATCTCCATACTTTCTTGGATGGTGTTACCATGGGCTAAGAATGCGGCATCATCTGCAATAGTTGCGGTATGGGAAAATATCATTTAAGGAATATCGCGAGTGAAAAGCAAATATAGCACAGGACAAAGAACGCTCCGCTGGGGCACACCCATACTTGTAAGACCTTGTATTGGAGTATTTATCACCTTGTATCACTCTAAAGATTCTATTGCTCAGATATGACTCTAGTATTCCACATATTTTTGCTGGAAAACCTATATCTTAAAGATCACGCCCTCATGCACACCCTGTGAAACGCCTTAGCGATGCCTAAGAACACAGCTGAGCATATTTCCTTTTTCTCTGAAGTTTTCAATTACGTTCGTGATTCTGTGGTCTTGATCAATAGTTAAATGGTTACATCTAAATCCAAGTTAATGATCTGGATTTAGATGCCTTCCTTCTATTATTGCAATCATTCCTTGTAACTATAGTTTTTCCAAGGCCTTAGATATAATTGGAAGAAGTGATATTGGTCTGTAGGATTTCATTTCATATTGCGATTTACCTGATTTTGGAACCATCAGGACTTCAGCAACCTTCCATATTTCAGAAAAATATTGTAACCCCATTATAGCATTAAACAAAAGCAATAACTTTTTAGGGAAACTTGCGGTAATTATTTAAGCACTGTAGCAGTTATTAGATCGTAACCAGGAGATTTTTTACTTTTTGATCTAGAAATTTCATTCGTTAATTTTCCTCTTAAAATTTTTCTTATAGGTGAATCATCTTGTTTGGTAATTTGGTAAGTATTTTCTTCAGCTATTTGGCATGGAATTGCTCTAAAAATACTCTCAGGATAGTCTGCAAAACAGCAAGCCGTTTAAAGATCAGTAATAGCCAATGAGTTGTCCCTTTACTTACAGATGGTATTTAGAGTCTAGGATTTTTTAAATTTTTCGCTATTTTCCACAAGGAATATCCTGAATCCTTCTCCTTAGATAAATTTTTTAGCTTGTTACGGATGGACTCATTTTTTATTTCATTAAGAATCTTTTACGTGCTTTTCTTTTATCTTTAATTAAATTTCTTACTTTCATGGGGTATAATTTATAAAAAGGTAAGTTTTGATGGCAAATTTGTTATTCCGTAGCGCATTTTGTACGTCAGTAATAAAGTTATTAGCCTTTTGTGCGTCAGTAATAAGTTATTAGTTCTCTAATTGGGTTGGCGTTCTTACCTGTGTTTGCAAAGCGATACGGAAATAATCACGGAATCCGGGCCAGCAGTAATGATGCTCTTTGTAATGAAGAATTCGATGAGATCTGGTGTTCGATTTGGGTCCGCTGACCAATATGTAGGTTTACCACTTGAAAGGAAGTTAAATTTTAGCTTACTTGCAGTTTCATACAAGGCTCTGCCATTGGGCGTACTAATGAGCCCCAAGAACTACTTTTAGCATTGAAATTCCCAATTATGAAGTTATCACCTATGCTCATAAGTAATATTTTATATTCCTCAACTTTTAGATTATGTTTAGGTGGACAGTAAATAGACTAAAATTTATATTCTTTGTTATTCTTACTTTAACAGATACATAAATAATAATAATAATAGAAGTAATTTAATAATAATAAAAATATTTTGTTGTTGTTGCCTTTGTTTCCTCGTATTTCTATTTTGTTTTAAGAAATATTTTAAAAACTTAATAAATCCTTCTCTCTAATGATATTAATCCTCTTCTCTTATATCCTTTATTCATATTATCTATATGAATATTTTAAAGAATATGATTATTAATACTAGAATCGATTTCAATTTTAAAATAACTATTATAATGAAAATCGACAAAAGATTAATCCGTATTCCAAAACCTCTTAACTTCCAACATGTAAATTAAAACCGTGTAATTAACAAAATTTTTTTTGACATGTGTGCAAAAAGCAGTCTCAATTTTTTCGCTACACAATCTGCTTTTGTCTTACGTTTCGACTGCGTATTCTATACATTTTAGCATAGTATGCCATGTCAAGAGCTTTTGTAGCACTTTACATTTTGGAATGTGATATATTGCAAATTTTACGTTTTCACTGAGTTTTGAAAGTCACGAGAACTTAAAGTAAAATTATACCGACGGTCGTCTGGTATGTAGAGTGCGCATGCTGCCAAACAGCACCTTCACCAGGCAGTCTTCGGCGTATTCTTTTTATCCTTGACTTGAGACATTCATTGTTTTATCGGGATCAAGCATCGGGTTCAGAGACTCAGGGACGTGCGACATGACAAGAAATTTTGACAAGAAAAAAATAAAAACGTATAATACAAATTTATACCACAAAATTTCTTTATTTACATATTATTAGAATTAACTACAAAATACTTAATTTTATGGTTTACTTAATATTTTATGGTTTTCGGATATTTACTTTTACATGGCAGCACTTCCCCAAGAGCAGAACACAAATGTGAATCTTTTGTTAAACTTCCTATAATACTGGACAGTAAACGCGATCTATTTTGATTACTCATATTTTCTTGATGCATTCTGAAGGAAAAATATGGCAAATAATGTTATTTATAAATTTAAAAGGAATTACCTTAACACCACTGAAAAAAGAGACTCTAAAGATGGCTCTTCTTGCATCGCATAGCTTTCACAAGTTGCATTTTCTACGCATGAATCTTCTCCAAATTCTTCAATTATATTTGTTTTTATTTGAAATATAAAGGGCGCATGTTTTTCATAACTTCGCTTTGATATTGTTTTGTATGTACCTATGAAATATATTTACAATTAAATATTTTTATTGTGAAATTTTTCAGTGAAACATCTATCGAACGGAATATCATAACAAGGCAAAAATACTCTTTTTCGAGCTACAGCCTGTAAAAAAAAAGAGTACCATATTTTTTGAATCTTACAATGATTACAATACTCTTTATTTTGAATCTTACAATGATTTTGATTTGAATAATAGTTTACATGATAGAGCTTGTCAAAATCATAATTTAAGAGAGCTGAAAGTTAAAACATATAAAATTTTCCTCTACCCCTCATAGCTTTACTAGTAAAACGTGTTAAATGTATTCTAAAAACATGCGAAAAATTCAAAGTTCATGCTGGGATTAAATTGATTACAAGACCGAAAATAAAGAAGAGTGAATCGCCTACAAAACAAGCGCCGATGGTTTCTTTAAGTCGTGGGGCTTAAAACCGTGGTCACCTCCTAGTGGTGGGCTCTGGTAATAGCGGAGGAGTGATGGAAACGACCAAAATTATATTCGTGTCGTGGCCATGTCTCTCGACGAATCCCTTGGTTTGCAAATTTCAGCTTTATATCTATATATCGTTAATATTGTCTGAACCTTGTTGTTAATATTTAAACTCTGGATAACAGATGCCGGGATTTGCCATACTTTCCCGCGCTACTCGTGGGAATAGGAAGGAGATAGAACTAAAAACCTACATCAAAAACAATAACAACAAAAACAACAAGGAGAATACCAAGGAAGAAATTAACAGTAGATTGCAAAAAGCTCAGAGGTCTGCGGAACCTTCTCGCGCCAGTTGAAGAAGAGGATAACCAGAATTTTTTGAGACCTATGCAATTTTTTGCTGGAAATTGATCAAAGAATCATCCATGAAATTATTTGCCGCCTTAGGAAAACCACCCCGTTTACTTAAGTAAGAACTCACGTTTGATTACATTGCAAGCATGTAAATGGGGGCTTTTAGGTCTGGTAGAGCTTATCTATAGCTGTTCAACGACACGCCGTGCGACCAGCTTTTGCTTTTTTTTATCAGCTTTCTATTGGACTTGAAAGGCACACTTATAGGCAACTGAAACTACTTTGTTTGGCTTCGAAAAAGCCAACGATTAATGCGAGTAAAATGAATTTTGGAATAATTTTAAAGGTTTTTTTTTGTGGATATCAGAACAAAAAAAAATGTTCAGATATAAAAATTTTAACTTATGATTTTTTGATAACTTATAACTCTTTTTTAACTTAAGAAAACCTTCAGTTTTTTTCATATTTTCACCAGAAACTTTCCAAGTGAAAGAATACTAAAAAGAATAAATTGCGTTGCAAATATAAATAAATGCTTTGTCTAATTGTAATGTTCCACCAAAGTTATGCTCCATTATTATTTTACTTGAAAAATTAAAAATAAAGTTGGGGTAAAGCAATGGCTTGTGAAGTGGCACTTATCATTAATGAAATTACATACTTTCATTCATATACCAAAAAATTTTTGAAATTTGTGTACATTTAGGATAAGCAATGTATGCAATCTTAATAATGCTCGAATTTGCGTTAATTCGTGAATTAAGAAAAATACAAATATTTTTTGATAGCATTGTATTTACCGTTAGCTTGTTGCGTTTTTTTAAAATTTGGAAAAGCCTTGAGTTTCGGAAATATAAAACGCCGAAAATTCATATTTCACAAATTTTGAGAGACGAAAGCTTGAGAAGAGGTGGAAGAGAGGAGATTTAGATATCTAAATCTAAAAGCTAAAGTTTTAGACTACTACAAATAGTCTAAAATAAAAGAGATATCAAAAATTTAGAAAAAACTAATTTTAAATAACGGTCAATTTTAACGGCCGTTTTGTTTTTTTAAAGCTCAAATGTAGTATACCGTGGTAAAAGAATCCAGCCACCAAAATGTTTCTGTTTTTGCTGCAATAATTACTAAAAAATTTACAATTTTAGGACTTTGAGAGGCTGTAACTTTTATAGGACTTTCAGGAACTATAACAGGTGTGGAGATAAGTAAAACTTTAATTCTCCAGAAAAAAGTTTCTAGTAAAGTTCTATGTTGTCTTGGACTGACAAGTTGAGATTAACTAATATAATAATGCTGTAATAAAACTCTATATAAATTAATAAGTAAACGTCATTGCAAGATGTTTCTAATCAATTCGTCTGGTATCCGCAACGTATGATTATATTACCTGTCGTCACAATACTCAGTTGACAGGAGAAGCCTACAACGCAGTAATTTCTCGGGGATAGAAAGGTGTGGCAATTTTATGACAAAACTCGTTCCTGGAAGTGGAGGGGGAGGGGGGGTACACCAATGAATATTTAACCACAAAAGTCTCAGTTGAAGATTTTTGGTTTCCACAAAAAATTGTATCAACTTAAATGGCTTTAACTTATATAAATATTACCCGATTTTAAAAAATTCATACGCAATGGATTATAAAAAAAAACAATGTCTTTTGAGGTATTACTTAAAAAGTAAAAAAAATAGGAAAATAAGTCAAAAATACTTAGGAAAATGAGGCAAAAAACAAAAAAGCCAAATTTTACAAATCTCTAAAAAATTTACCCTATCCAATTTTGTTTTTTATAATTTGAAATATTGAGTTGGTCTTCAATTATTCTTCTTATTACATTCTGCCCTTATATTTAAATTGCTAACTAAAAGATCAAATTTAAATGTGATTTTTTTAGAAAATAAAATTTGTTTGAATTCGAAAATTTTAAAAATTAAAATAGAACTATGTATGTATGTGAAAATTTTTGTAATACGTTATACATAAGTATGTTTTCATAAAAACTAATTGTGAAATTTTAAAGTAGGAAAAAAATGGGGAAAAGTGGAACCTTAAATCAAAATTAATATTAGTTGCAAGAAGACTCATTTACGAATAAGACTAGCGGGAAACGAATAGAATTTTATTGCTTTTAAAAAGTTGTTTCAGATTTTCTGGTTTTTGTGAATATACTATTAGGTGCTGAATTCACTTTCCGTGGAGGATTGAAATGTTAATCAGCTAAGTTTACTGACGCTACGATTGTTCAAAGCGCAATGACAATATTTTTTTGTGATTGGCAATAATGTATGTATGTTTATTGATTTTATCACATGGGCTTCAAAGCTTGTTTTTGAAATACATAAAATTATTATGATATTCACTCGATTTTATACTGAATTTGGGAAATTATCTTCTATGTTTAAACGTTCATTCATTTTATGCAGACTTTTTCTGAAAACATTCGATAATTATATTCGTCTGAAAACCGGAGTCTAATAATAGATATAACAAGCCTATAACATTGATACATTTACTGCCGCTTGTTGCCTTTTATTGGAACCTTCAAAAATGTGTAGTGTTTCTGGTGACATTTTCTACAGTTACACATAACGCACTGCTTCCAAAATTGTGCTTTCTTAACACTTTTGTACATCAATTGTGCTTCCTCGCATACAAGCCCTTTTCTTTATGTGTCATTTGAAACTTGGAACAGTTTCCTTACATAATAAAAATACAAAATTGCTATTTAAAATGACTTTTTGTTACGTATACCGTTTACTTGAATTTTTATGACTTGTATTTGTTTTCATCTATAGCTTCCAATGCTTTAAATCTTGCTTGAACAGAGATGATAAATTCTTGAACAGTATGTGATTAATTAGGTGATTGTAAAGATTGTTTATATTATATTAGTGAATTTTTGTCCAAGTTCTTTCCAAATGTATAACAGAATGGGATTCCAACTATTTTAAATTCCAATTGTAAATTCTCTGACAAATATGTATATCTTTAAATTTTACCTTTACTTTATATCTTTATATTTTCGCCTTTTATTTCTTGATACAAATTTTCCAATTAATTTAATTTTCGTTTATAATAAAAATTAAAATTCTTCTAATTCTTGTCATTGCTGTTCAAATTATCTTTTATTGTTTCGTAAAATTTTTGTACATACATACTTATGTATATTGTTATAACACTCTTCTGTGAAATATATATGACATCTTTCTTGTGGTTACTTAATTGATATATCAACATTACTCTTTTCCAATGCTGTCCGCAAACCCCCAACTTTTTTCAATCTATCTTGGAGTAGTGTATCCATTTTCCTTCATTCGGTTAATTTCAAATAGTGAATATACACTTCTTTCAATTTTTTTAAAACTGTTGCTTCATTTTGGTTTTTATATTGTATGTACATACATACGTATATTAGCGATTACTTCTTCTAACTTGATAACACCGAGTTCACTAAATATTTATAGGTACTAATCAATTTGCCTGGTAAGCAGTACTAACTTGATTATATTTACTTTTCTACATTACAATTATTTCAAGATATCCTCTACCCCTAAAGGGTAGGACGGAAAAGAGGACAACCATGTATTTATTTGTAATACTTATCTAATTTTATAATTTTCCAATTTTAAAGAAAAAGACAACCATTATAAAATTAACATATTCTAATTTTTTTTTTTAAGAATTTTAACGACAAAAAACACATGAGGGAAGTTGTTTTTCTCAAATTTAGTTTACATAAAGCTACCAAAATTAAGATTTAAAGCAGAAAATTTAACACAAAGAAAAAGATTTAACCGAAATAAATGTAATGAAGGTTTTTGGGTTATATTTTTTTAGCAACCTTTAAAATAAGATTTTTAAAAATTCAAAATCTTACATACAACAATATCTGTAAAATGAAGGTTTTTTAATAATACTGAAATTTTTTAAAATTAAAATTTTTTACACTTTTTTCTATTCTTCCCCAAGGTCAGAAAAAAAAAATAAACAAAGGCTCACTTTATAGGAATATTGTGGCCCGCGAAGCGAATGTCATTGTTCGCGAAGCTAGTAAAATTATCTCAAAATGTCATAACAAGGCGTCTTTGGCAGAAGTAATTTTCACAACTTTACTGTAATTTTCAGTTGATGGTTTTTTATTAATTTAAGACAATGGAGGTTATTGTGAAAAAAGTTAAAACATTATTAGTAAACTAAATTTTAATTTAAAATATACCTATAATAAGGTAAACGTAATTTTAAAAAAAGATGTTTTTAATAATTTATAAAATGGGTATTTTTATCCAATAAACCACTTTTATTAATTAAACTATTTTTAGCAACCTGTCCGTCTGTCACGTTAACGGCGTATAACTGATTTTGATGAAATTTTATGTAAGTTTATATAAATTTTATTTGAGTTTATTTCGGCCATGGTACGGATTGATCAATTTTTGGGATATATCATGCCTCGGGAACTGCACTTTTAAGCGGGTCTATTTTACATTTTTGACCATTTCATAAAAAATACGAGTATTCAACCGATTTACTTGAAATTCCATATATAAGCTTCGCTCGACCGTCCGCGAAATCTCTTAACTTTTGGAAGAAATCAGGCATCAGTAACTCGACGTTTACTACGGACCGAATATACATTTTTGCGTTTATAAAGAGAAATAATCAATTGATTTCATCTAATTTAATATTTCAATTCTTCGTATTAAAACAATAAACATATAAATTTTTTGGAAAGATTTACGTTTTTCGCCATATCTACGGAACGATTTGATAGAATTTCTTGAAATTTGATATTTGAATTCTGCTTGTTACCGAAACTAACTGGTGGGCATTTTAGGGAATTCGAGTAGCACAAAGCGAAACTCTACTAGGAGCCAAATTTAAATTTTTTTAGGTGCGTTAACTATAAGCTTACTAATACCCTAAAAATTGGAAAGAAGTATTTAACAGGCATTTTTATAATATTCTGTAATACTTTCACTTAAGTAGACAAAACACATTGCAGTCGGTTATGTGCTGATCACTTCAGATTTTTTTGTTATACAATATTAGTTTTTTGATATCGAAAGTAGTAACATAATATTATCATGTTATAACATACACAATGTTTACATACATTAATTTAAACACAAAATTACATATCGAGCATGACAAAATATGTACATATGTATGTATGTATATGAAACATAACAAAAATGTAAAGGCCTGTACAATAATTTCCTATAATATACGAAATCATCTTAATATTTTTGCATTTTCCTTCCAAAATTTTTATAAATAAAAAAGACTATTGAATTTCTTTATGTGTTTTTTAAAATTTAATTAATTTTAAGTTTATTTAAAAAGAATAATTGACTTAATAAACTGGTGTATTTTGACAGTTTTTATTGTTTGGGCATACATACTTATGTATATTTAAATAAAATAAAATAATATATTTGATTGCGTTTTTTATAAATAGAAAATAAAATTTAATCAATTACCTACTAGTGTTAAGGTTTTAACAATTTAAATAAGTATCCATTAAAAGAAAATTAATCTCTATTAAAAGAAAATTAAAAAATTGTGTGAATACATACTAGGTACATTTATATCATAAAATTTATAAGTTTTCTCACCAAATATTGCTAGTTTTAAAAAAATTAAATCAAAATTTTATTCGACAGTGGCAATTATTCAATTTTTCGAACTTTAGCGACTGTCACTGTCGCAATGTCGCAGTAATGTAAACAGTCCATAAAATTATATTGTGTCGCATTAGAATACCACATATATTGAGGAATCAATTTGAATGTATATTAAGTACGTATGAAAATAAAAATAATATTGGTATATAAGTAGGTATTACTGCGGCTGACAGAAATATAAACATAAGTATGTACATATGCATATTTTTGTTATGTATAATTGAATACTGAAAGGCAGTTTTACATCCCAATCAAAGCTTAACAATCATAATTGCGGTTTAGGAGAATTGATGTAAATTTAAAATTACATTTGCATCAATCATCGTCAATCTTTCTATATGCACTTTAACATTGAAAATTTAAAATACTACTACTCCAGTATCAAATATCAAATCGAAAGCCAAAAAAGCATCAAAACAGCTGATTATAGCCCATTTTACTCATGTTTACAAAATATTTTTTTATTGCTGTCAAATAATAATTGACCAAAATCGAAAATGATTGAAGGATGATGTTTTCATGTTAATCTTAATCAATTTCAATCATGACCTTCAATCTTTGATTGACATTTAAACGTTGACTTATAATCAAAGTATATGTATATCTATTTGAGAAGTAGTTCGACTCGTTCCAAGCCATTAGTTTTCTTTTGCATCTTCCATATTTTCTATGTGGAAAAAACCATCTATATCTATAACAAAATATAGAAGGCGGGTGTTTTTGGGCCAAGAACCAAATTCTCCGAACCCATGGGGACGTATCCCAGCGTCTTTAAGGCGGAGGTACATGCCATTGACACGTGTGTGCAGTTCAACCTTGAGAGACCATACCGCGGACAAGAAATATTAATCATGTCGGATAGTCAGGCTGCTATCAGAGCGCTGAGTTCTTTGTCAGTATCCTCTGAGGTAGTATGGGGCTATTTTGAGAAGCTCAACAAATTGGGCAGGTGCAACCGGGTCACACTGTGCTGGGTGCCGGGACATGTGGGCGTAGAAGGAAACGAGGTGGCGGACGCGTTGGCGAGAAGGGGGCCAAACACACCTCTTCTTGGGCCAGAGCCTTTCTGCGGAATTGGTTCACATACGATTCGAGGAGAATTAAAGAAGGAAATGGAGAGGCGGCGTTCGGAGTGCTGGAGGTGTCTTTCAGGACTTCGACAGGCTAATGAGCTTCTGGGAAACTATGACCAGGGGCGCTTTATCAGAGGTACTGGGGAACTATGTACTCAAGCCGGCGGAGCTGTGGTCTGCCGGCGCTTCAAAGTTGCTCGGATTCATCAGGAGGCTGGGTCTCGAGGGGGTGTTGAAGGGCTTTATCCCGCACCTGGTCGGTGGGCACAATAGATCTATTTTCTGGTCGCGGTGCACTGTTACCCCTTCTTTCCAATCTACAATAACAAAATATTGTAAACAGTATTAAAAAGCAGCGAACTGAAATAAAATTAAATTAAGTTAGATAAAAATTTTAATTTATAACAGTAAAATTTGTTTTTCCTAACATTTTATTTTTCATTTCATTAAAGTTAGATAAAAACATTGGAATATATGAAAGCAATATATAGAAGTTAAAAATTTCATATTTTTACATATGTATGTATTTGTACGTATGCAAGTCAGGTACCCTGTTTATACGGCTGCTTCAAGCCTATTTTTGTTTATATTAATGTTACTTGACTTGAAGCCGGTTTTACTCAAGGCAATGACAATTACTAATTACAAATTTTAAAATATTTTAATATTGTCTTAATTTTTTTTTTTAATTTTTTAATATTATATAAATATTTTATATTAAATTTTTTTTTTTATTATAATACTGAATTTTTTTAAATCGCTTCGTTTTTATAATATGTTTGCACCATTTTTGCCACCTTGTGCTAAAATAAATTACAGAAATGGTTTTGTGGATCTTTAAAATGCTTGATATATTCCCCTATACTTTATATGCGAAAAAAAAGGTTTTGTACGCCTCTAAAAATAAATTACAAAAAAATAGGTAGACATTTATTGCGTACTCTTTTCCTCTTCCAAAATTCGTGTATAGAAATGGAAAAAAGAAAGTATGTTTAACTCTTTTATCTAAGGAAATTTTTTTATGCAAATATTGCTGAGTGATTGCATTACTGTAATGTAAACGAGGGTAGAACTACTTCTTCGGTAGACATACTTTGCCTAAAATTTCATATTCACACTTTATAAATTCATATGTTCACATATCATTATACTTGCATACATATTTACTTTAAATTTGACATAAATTTTACATGCCTGAAGCTACAAAAAGCTTGGTTTACAATATGAGACGAGTGTTCTCTTTGATACATAACTATTTTAGTTATTTATTTAGGTAGATCTAGGTATGTACATACCTACCTATACCTTTAAAAAATTTTTTTTGTGCTCGGTTTTATTCGTGCTATGAAATTTACTCAATTATTTATTTAACCTATTTAATTGTTTTGTTTACGGTTTGGCTTTATTTCAGTCGCCAATCGCAATATTAAGTCTGTTTGGTATAAAAAAAACTTTAAAGGGAAAACTGACGAATTTCTCGCAAAGAACGAAAAATCTCGTTTCAAAAAATAAACCTTTACGAAACTTGAAAAAACATTAAACATTAAGAAAATGACACGTCAGCATTTTTTCTCATTTTTGTTTAAAAAGTATTATACCAGACGCGTACTAAATTTATAGACTTTTTATAAACTTTATACCAGACAGACATATATGTATGTATGTGTATGCAAAATGTGAGCAAACATGTTCATATAATATTTTAACAATTATGTTTATTACCTGGATTAAGCGAGTACATTAATTTTTTTGCAAAATTTGCTAATCTAACTGACAAAGCTATTACAGGAAAACCTACAAGTTGAACTGGGATATCAAAAACTGGCTCCTGGCATAGAACAAGCGTCGATAGTTCCGAGAGCATCAAAAAATTTAAAACGAAAATAAATAACATTTTATTGATTCAAATATTTTTAACGAAAAAAAAACTATTTAAAAGGAAATTGTTAAAATTTTATGGTGTATTTAGCACGGTTGTTAAAATGTTACTGAAGATTAAATGTATGTAAATAGGTAGGTACCTACTACTTACATCCGATTACAATTTTTGTCGTGTTAAGTGGGAATAAAACATTTTGAAAGAGAAGTGAAAGTTTGGCAAAAATATTTTAGTTGTGTAATATCATACGTAATACAATGTCAAGCAAAGCACAAGCTTTTTGGGCAATTGTATAAAAACGTACTAACTGTTCTCGATTTGTCCGAGTGGTTCAAGCACATGTGGTTAATTATGGAAAAAAAATTCCATAGTGCTAGTGAAAAATTTTGATTTAAAAATTTTTTCTTTTCACATACTATAATGTTTCATTAATTCTTCATTCATTCATCGAACATCTAATATTTTGGCTTCTGTATTATAGTATGCAATATGTAACTTATGAAGATGCACATATGTATATATCTTTAAGTAATTTTAGATTTTACCTTATCCTGGTAACCACTTACACTGCAATTGATATGTATGTTTAAGTGTTTTTAGATTTTACCTTATGCGTACTATCTTCCACTGCAGGCAATCAAGATAAATTGCATAGTTGGACAAGACGCTTGGATACATACATATGTGCATATTAAATTTCTTTTAACTATATATAAAATTTTGAAAAATTTATACTAAAGCTGCGACACAAGAAATATACAAATATTACAACCTTGAAATAAGTCATATGAAAAGCAAAAAAAGCAAACGGTGAATAAAAACTCGTTTTTAATTATACACATATAAAATTTCATACACATAATTTTACACCCAGCAAACAAACCTTAAAATAAAAATTGTCTTAGGTAATACTTCTGCTTACAAATTAAACGTTTTAAAATAAGTTTACTTTAATTTTATGTTTCGTTTTTATTAGCAAAGAATACCTGAATAAATTAACATTCCATTAATAAAGAATTCGAATTATCATTTGTACGATCTAAGGTAAATATTAAACTATTTTCGTCTACAATATGCGATGGTTCAGATATATTTTCATTAGTGTAGCAATTTGTTCCATCATTTAATTTTGTTTCACTGTTCGTCGAAATTTGTTCTTTCAAGTTAATATCATCACCAAAACCTTGAATACTTGTTGGAATATCATCCCAATTAATTTTGAATCGTGTTACACGTGGTTTTGTTGCTAAAATATTTCTAGTTAATTTTTCAAATTGAGGCTTCTGTGGGGGATTTTCCCGTAATTCTTGTTCCCCATAATCATTGTTTACAAAGTAACCTACGCGAACAAATTCTTGACCTCTATACGAACACGTTAATAATATTATTGTAACTCCAACTGCATCCTGCTCGGGTATTTTTGTAACATCAGGGGCTTCAGCTTGAAAAACGAATATATGTCTTCCCTCCGGAACTGGACCAACATATATTGTATCTAGTATTTGATCATACTCCTCAGATTCCGCTGAACCCACATAAATCATTTTCCATTCTAAATCTTCACGTAATTCTTCTATACACTCAAATGTCAACTCAAATTGAAACGGATTGAAAAAACTGCTGGGATTATCTAAAACAACTACATTTGTTATATGAACTTTAGCCATTATTCAAAATCTAACAAAAAACGAAAAATTTTTCTTTCTGGAATTTACGCGGTTTCCTTCCAAATTTCTATACAATAACTGCCAATAGGAATGGTAAATGTTTACCGATTTCGTTTTGTTAAGAATGCAAATATGTAACATAATGTCTACATTTTTTTGACGTTTTTTTCAATCAACTTTATAGTCAATGCATACATATATAATATATATTCGCTAGGTGGCCACGTATCTGCAAATTCTGCGATTTTTCATATATGCTTCTTTTTTTTATATTTTCATAAAACAAAATAGTTTCAAATTTCGCTCATATTATATAATATTCTATTAAGGCTTCTGATAGTCAGTCAAAATGGGTAGATAGAATATTTCGTTAGGGAATAAGGACTATTATTATAACAAGTTTTCAACTCATATCTTTATCGGAACTCCAAATTTTGAGTTTTTCGCTAATAAAAATGTGATAGCTTAAAAGAAAATGTTTACGGCCGGATGGAATCTTTTTTGTTTAAAATTCGAAAATGAAAGCTTTAAAATAGTTAATTTAAAAAAAATTTTCGGAATTCCACTGAAGCAGCAGATTTTAAAGCCTAAATATTAGCAGCGGATTTCATTCAACAAATCGGCAATATCAGTGGTATTTCATATTTCTTGAAGAATCTAAATTATAAGGAATTATTTTGAAATTGAAAATTTTTAAAATAATTTTAGTCAAAAAAAATATTTAAATTTTATTTGAATAATATTATTATTCAGAACTTTCCTCTCTCGTTTCACTAAGTTAGTAAAAAGTAAAAGATTGACAGGGCTTTGACGTATTGAATGTGTGTAAATTTGGTTTAATGATATTTAAACATATTTTGCTTTGGAATGGTATGTATAAACATAATGTCAACCACTTCTTTTTTATATTTTCAAAAATTCGTTTTTAGGGTAAGTAAACATTTTGTTTTTTATAGATTTTCAAATTATAGATTTGAAATACCAAAATTAAATACATTTTTATGATAGATACATTTAATAATAATTTTCAAGCGTAGTTTTAACAGAGGAAAATGGGGTAATTTGCCTCTGGTAGCAGAGCAATTAAAAAAAAAATTTTGACAACACTGACCACGTCCAAATATTTTCTTTAGTAAATGACAGTCATATACAATTGTAGCACCCATAACAACTAGAAGAGTTTGGCATCGAATTAGAAATACTGAAGGAAGGAGCATCTTTGTTTCTACCTCTTGTAAAAAATATAGTGAAGGCAAAACTTCAGATAGGTTTTTTTTTGTCCGAGTATTTTCAAGCTGAAATTAACATTAAATGCTAAGTGGCCTATTATGTAAAAATATGAAAGTCGCAAATTTGGGTAAGTTGATTCGCGATTCGCAAGTGGTTTGGTACTATGTAACAAAATCGCATCGTAAAAAATATAAACTGGTTGCATTTTGTAAAATTTTTTATTTTTGGCATTTTTAATTTCAAAGTTGCTCTCCAGTGACCTACCGCTTTCTAGACGGACGCTCTACCAACTGAGCTACAGAGGCATGAAGAAATTGCCGACGAAATGTTCTCTACATTGCTTATTTCACTGGTTCGAGTCCAGTTCGAGGAGAAAAATTTTTTTAATTAATTTTTCTGCCTTTAACTCGTTCCTTTGATTACGTCATCCATCTGTTCTGCAGTTGCATGAAGAAATTTCCATTAAGTTAAATTAGTAGTGTAATAAGCACATTCTTATTAATTTCTCAACTATGATGTTGTATTAGTAAAATTCATAATTTAAAATTTTTTCTTAAAGTAAAAACTAAAAATATTTCAAAATATTTTTTAATTTTAAATATCTGTAAAAAAAAAATCAAATTTAAACAAAACTCATTATTTTTTTTTTTCTCTAAAGAATAAATTTATTTTATGAAATATAAAATTTTGGTAAAATATTTGAAATGCAAACTTCTTTATTAATAATTAAAAACCACTTTTTGTCAATTCATTACTTCTAGAAAAACTGTAGTTCTAGAAAAAAAGACCAAATTAAAATTTTGTATGTATATTTAATAAAACACAAATTAGTTTTGCTTAGAATAAAAGTCGGTTCTGGTAAAAGTATGTCATTCGAAGTAATATTAATTTAAAACAAAACAAAAACAGATATTTTCTTTGCAAAATTAAAAACTTAATAAAATTACAAATTATGAATTAATCAAAGCACTGTTCAATAAATATTTATTTTAATTATTGAAATGAATAATATTCGCATATATATGTTGTACTAAAACTATTTGTTTTTACTAATGGGAATAACAATCTAGAATTTTATAAACAAATTAAGAAAATCTTCTTTGTTACTTTTATTATAGCGGCGCGTAATTTTCTAAGAAAAAACAAAAAAAACCACATCATTTTTCATTTAATTTTGATTCCAGTTTGACAGTGCTGGGTGCAAAAAAGGAACTTACCTGAAGCTTTTGGTTTCACTATGTTTTTCTTCGAGATACGATTTTTTGCTGAGTGTAAGCGAAATAGAAACAAAGATGCTCCTTCTTTCGCATACGCTAACTTGCGAAAATTTTTTTTTCTTCATTTTGACAATTAAATTTTTTGTCTGACCCAGAAAATCGATTTTTTCAATTCCATTCATTTTTTTTTATTCATTATTTTTACTACATTTTTTTTTACAAGTGACAGCTGTTTAAAATTCAAAATTCTAAAATGCGACAAAAAATTAAAATAAATTTTTAAGTTTATAGGACACACATAATCGTTATTTATTATTTCATAATTCATAAATAACGTTATTTCGATTTACGTCGTAAATTTTCAGAAAAGTATATCTATAAACAAGGAGTTCGACTCTCCGTTTACATCGCACTAATGCAATCACTCACCAATATTTGTATACAAAAAATTCCCTTAGCTAAAAGAGTTAAGCAGTATTCTTATTTTCATTTTTATACACATAAGAATTTTTGGAAGAGAGAAAAAGTACGCAATAGATGTTTACCTGTTTTTTATAATGTATTTTTAAAAGCGGGAGTTATTTATTTTTTTGTATATAAAGTACCGGAAAAAATATTAAGAATTTTAAAAGCGGGAATTTTATTTCTGGAACTTATTCCAGTACAAGGTGGCAGAAATGGTGTATCCATATTATAAAAGCGAAGCGATTTAAAAACAAAATTTGACTATTGAAATAAGAAAATTATAGTTTACATATTATATGTATATAATTTGAAAAAGACAAATAATATTAAAAAAAAATTGTAACTAGTAATTGTCATAAAAACAGTAACATTTGTCATAAAAACAATCATATTTATTGTAATATAAACAATGATTTTTTCATTTTTATTTGAATTTTGTTTTAAAAATTTAAAACAAATATTTCTTATGAATATTTATTATGAATTTTTATTATAAATTGCTTAATTTCTATGCCTCGTCTACATTGCGGCTTGACGTAAAATCAGCTCGAAACTCAACCTGCGTTTTTACTATGTTAGCTTAAAAGCCCTAAAACGATGTTTAGCTATTAAATTTCAAATCATTATTAACATTTCAAGTCAAGTTGTGTGAAGCCAGCTTCAGGTCAAGTATCGTTTATATAGACAACAATAAGATTGAAGCTGCCATATAAACGGGGTGCATATATATTACTTCATCATATTGTGTATCTACCTTCAATAGGTATGTACCGTATAACAAAGTATGAAATTTTAAATTTATAACTATTACTTTCATACATTTGAATGTTTTTACCTAACTTTTATGAAATGAAAAATAAAATATGAAAAAAAAAAATTTATTTTCAAAAAACTACTTATCAATAGCAAAGTATATCTATTAATAAGTAATTCGACTCTCCGTTTACTTTACTTCACATTTATGCAACCACTCACCAATATTTGTATATAAAAAATTTCCTTAGCTAAAAGAGTTAAGCAGTATACCCTCTTATTTTCATTTTTATACGCATAAGAATTTTTGGGAGAGGGAAAAAGTACGCAATACTCGTAGATGTCTACCTGCTTTTTTTATAATGTATTTTTAAAAGCGGGAGTTATTTATTTTTTCGTATATAAAGTGTAGTAAAAAATATTAAGAATTTTAAAGGCGGGAGTTTTATTTTTGTAGCTTATTTCAGTACAATATGGCAAAAAATGTGTATTATATTTTAAAATCGAAGAAGAAAAAAGTTTAAAAAAATTATTATAATTTATATAATATAATTTTGAAAAATAATAAAAATAAATTTTGAAAAGTATAATATTTAAAAAAATTTAAACAGTTGTAAAAAAATATTTTGTTTTACAAAAATGGGTAAATATTATTTGAAGTGTTTGGGATGAAAAAAAGCCGACACGAAAATTTCCAATGAATCGGTAATAATTATATTTCATAAAGTATTATCAACCAGTATGCATACACTTTTTTTCTTTGTAAATTACTTTATTTCTATGTCACTGCCTGATACTGTGCATCTACTGTACCAGGTACATCCATGTATACATACATACATTAAAATTCAAACTCATATATCTTTTGCTTTCGTACATTCGAATTTTTTACCTACCTTTAATAAAATGAAAAAATTTTTAACAAATTGTAATAAATATTTTGGTAATTGCTCACTGATGGAGCAATACTTAGATTAAATGGTGGCAAATTGCCAAAACAATATACTTCAAAAATAATTCACACTAATATTTTATTTTACTTAACGGCATCATACATACATTTACATTTTTTTCTTTGATGACCAAATGTTCACTCTATAAAGGAAAATATTACCAGTGCATTTCACATTTGAAAACAAAATATTCATTACAAATTAATTAAAGCATCTAACGTTAAATAAGTTTTACCCTATGTAATACGGTAAAACTTATAACATATGTAAATATAAGTTTCACCGTATGGCATGGTTTTACCATACCATACTTTTCATATTTTAACTCAAAATGTTATGAACACACAACATGAATGAAAACTTCTTCACTCTACTTTCTTTACATTTAAATCTGCAATCCACTTTTTTTGAATTTCATTATTTCTAGGGAAACCGTAGATATAAATAAAATAGTCTACTTTAAATATCGTATG